CACTGGTTCTAAAGGAGTTTGCACTGGTTCTTCATGGAGGTAATTTAAGGAATTTTAAACACGCTTCGGACAAAACCAGGCGATAAGGGCCTATTTCTGATCTCACGGCCCGGGGACGATCTCTCCTGCGGCTCGGGGAATTAACCCCGTGTAAATATGTTCAATATCAGCCTCCTGATGGGGATTTTACTTGACAGTAGCCTGTGAAGAAACACTATTTTGGCAAGAAAAAAAAAAAAAGAAAAGTGTCTCTGCCAGCCCTATTCCGACTTCTATTCATTTACGTCCCAGGGCTGACTTGTAAGGCAGATGCTTACAGAAATGTAAGGTCTCCAGCAGGACCGGACACGCTCCTTTCCTAGCGCCAGGTCTGCTGAACGGGAGCCCTTGCGCAGCTCGCTGTCCCCCAGGGGAGCCCCGGCCGCCCCCCGCCTCCTCCGCTCAGCACCCCCGGCCTCTCCGGGAGGGGGAGCGACCTGGCCCAAACACGTGCTCCGAAACTGAAGCGTTTCTCCGTTCCCAGCAAAACCAGCTGAAAACCCGCCCTTGCGCCCGGTGGGAGAGCGGCAAGGCAGAGCTCCCTGCCACAGCGAGTGGAGCTGATGGCAGTACGAAATGGAGAGGGGAGGGCAGGAGGAAGAGCCTGCGCTCCCCCGCCCCTTTGCACCGGTTTGTCTTGCAGTTATTCAAAATGATTGAGTTTTCTGAAGAAGGCCCTTTAGAGAGAAAACAAAACCAGCAACAACCTCTTCCGCCAAAACCAACATGAATATCAACCTGTCCACTGGCAGGGCTTCGGAGCTTAGAGGCATTACAGTAAAATTTACGGCGTCCTTAACAACTCCCAATAAAAGCATTAAAATTCCCTTTAATTGAGAAAACATTGATTTTTAACTCTGGAAAGAACGAACCCGTAATTTAATTGCAAGCTTTCACCGACAGAGCAGCATCTCAGGGAGGCCACATTCCATCTTTAATAGAGCCACTTTATGAAGTGATAAAGCCAAAGAAAACCTGACAAACAGAGACAGTTGAAATTGCGCAAGAAAAGTTATTTGCCTTCCCTTTCCCTCTTCGCAGCTCCAAACTATCCCGCTCTTCCCTCCCCCTCCAACCCCCGCCCTCCGATCAGAAATCACAACTGAAAAAGCAAAGGATTTAGGAAAGAAGCAGTAGTTAATATTTTAAATGATGATTTGCTTTTACTAGGCACGGGGTGATGCCAAGAGGTTTAAGGGAACATTTTCACAAAATGGTAGCCTCTTCTGAAAAGGAAACTAATCGGATAAAACTTCCTTGCTTTCCCTTGTTCGTTACAAAAATAATTGCTAAAGAGAAGGAAAGGGAAATCCCACCCTCCCTTTCTATCTTATTTCTGTATCGGTTTTTGGTATTATAGAAGAGTAAAGAAGTTTTTGTTTGGTGGTTTTTCATTGATCAGTCACTCTGAGCTAATGTAATTATCCTCATCAATAGAAGGCTGCAGAGAGAATCATTATGTGGGTGACATTGATAAATGATCACCCAAGAGCTGCCTTTTCTCTTGGGCACCCCCACATATGACCCTCCCACATACACAAGGTAGCCATAGAAACACCTTGAGATCCTCAAACACTGCTGCAAATGGGAGAATACAGAGAAAGCGAGAGAAATCCAACTTCACACACTTTCTGTCCCTGCTGAAGCCTCCTTCCCATTGCACGCAGCCACCGAGCCGGGCTCCGCTGTTCTGCCCCATAAGCATGTAGCCCGGTCCCGGCCCTGCGACGTCTCACGGCACCATACCCAGCATTTGGGGGGAGGGGGGTGTCTTATGGAGTTTGCTTCTGGGCTTTTTAAATATTTTTTTTCTTTCTTTCTTCCTTCCCCTGGGATAGCTAAGCAATGAGGCTGCACGCACCACACGTATTGTACGCGCATTGCGGGACCCCCTGGTTTTAATGGCGCTCTTGGAGATGCACACCAAAGATATTCACCCCGTCCCAGCAATGCGGCTCCTGGAAAATGGTTAAACACTAATTATTAGCAGCGATTTTTTAGTCACAGGCCTATACGGGAAGATTGTGTATTTCTTACTAAGCCAAATAATATTTTTTCTCCAGCTGCAGACCCTCCCTTTTTTGTAAGCAAATTCTAGAATATTGAGAGCAGTAATTGATTCATAATGATCCATAAATCGATGGAAGGAGTGGGGTGAAGGTGTTTATTTATTTTTTTTTTTTATTCCTGAAGCTGCAAGTAAAGTAGCTTTGACACCGTGTGGGGATGAAGGGGAGGAGTTGTTTAGCCGTGCGGGGTCATCCATCATCACTGTCGCAGAGACTCTGCCCAGAGGAGCAACCTCCCTTCTGTCTGTCTCTTTCTCGCCACCAGAACTATTAATATTAAAATCTGCCTGCAAACCTTGCCCCCAGCCGCCCCTCACCCCATCCGGCCCTGCTCAGCCCGCAGCGGCTGGGGTGCCCAGCCCGGCTCGCTCCCGCGCAGCGCCAGCGGGGTTGATTTTTCCCCAGCGCTGTTAGGAGAGTTAAAAGGCCGGCCCCGTTTCCTCTCGGCTGAACCCAGGGACGTGGCAGGGGAGGCATGTGGGGCGCAGCCATCCCTCCGCGCAGCAGAGCGAGGGGACGCGGTCGTGCCTGGGGAAAAGACTCGGGCGTTTGCCGGGCTCCATGGGGTTTTTTTCCTAGCACAAGCATCAGGCGTATAGTGGGGCTACTGGCTCCGCATCGAGCCAAAGGCGCCGCCGGCAGACCCTCGCTCCCTTCGGGAAGCCTGGAGAGCCGCTGGAGCGATGAGCAAAACCTACAAGGGAGGAACGGGTCCAGCCCGTACCCCCGCCGCACTCCCTTCCCCTGCCCGGCCCGCCCCGGCCCCTCCCGGCCCCCTCCCCCCGGCCCCCGCAAACCTGGTCTGGGGTAATTTTCTCTCCCTCGCTCTGTCTGCGGCTATGAGTGAAAGGTGGGGAGCGCCCCGCTCCCCCCGGCATCTCCTCTTCGGCCCTGCGGTGCCCGCTCGCCGCGACGGGCAGGGCTCGGGCGGCAGCGCTGCCGGAGGTGCGCTCCCCTCCTCTCTTCGCCTTAAAGGCAGCAAAATCTGGAAGAAAAATCCCTCATTTATGGTGACTACAACTCCCAACGCAGACCCGCTCGGCGAAATGGAAATTTGGGATTATAAACATGTGTGTATGTAAACAAAAGGTGTTTCTTCTGTTACCCTTCGTTTCCCACAGCATAAGCAATTTTTATTCAGACTCGAGTATTTTCTTTAACACTATACCGCTGTCAAAACATTATTCCCGTTTTGTTTGCTTTTGACAGCTGAGCAGTTCTTAAAAATACCAAAATCGGAACCTTCCATGCTAAACAGAAAATCTCAGACGGAGAAATCTCTGCACGATATTGTACCTTGGATTTCAGCAAGACATCTCATGGAAAGCACAGACCAAAAGGGGGAGGAAAAAGAAAGAAAATAAAAGACAACACAGCAATGCATATACTTAGTTCATTATAAAAACAAATTATCTACTATGGCTAAATTCTTCCCTGTTCTTCTACCAACGTGATTTCTGACATTTCTCCTCAAATTCTAGAGAATAGATCTGCAAGGAAATAAAATACTGTTTAAAAAATAAATAAAAGCCTCCCCTTTAAAGTGCTAGCACAAATAATCTTGCCTTCTTAAATTCTGCATCCACAAAAATCACAGAATTTGGAAATGGGCACCCAGGCTGTGGTCTTCTTATGCGACTGAAGGGTCGATGTGATTTTAAACAGGACAGAGAGCATCAAAGCCGAGCAGGGAATTATAATCTAAATTTCATACGAAAGCCTTATAAGAGACGCCCACAAAGCAGGACCTGATTGCTAAATAAATCCTCACACCCATTCTACTGGCATCCTCCCTTCTGTCGCCAGCAGCGTGGGTCCATTTACTCAGCTCAGAAATTAAACATTAACTATGAGGCCGAGCCTCTTTCCACATTCCAAGGGTAAAAGTTGTCACTCGAAGTTTTAAAAAATACACTGGCCAGTTGGGACGATGAGAAGGAGGAGGAGAAGGGTTACAAATTTACAGATGTTGAAGTTGGAAATTTTTGTTTCCTAGAAAGTTTAGTTAATTACAAGTCCTTTCCCACTCCCCTCCTCCCAGGAATAATGGCAGAGCTTTCCCCTGACCTCTTCTTTGGGCCCCATCCCGCTCTTGCTAACTTAACAGTGCCACTGAGAAAAGTGAGAGGCTGCTTTTTCTAATATTGCTCATTGCTCTTCCTAGTTCAAACTCTCCTTTAGTTGCTTCAAAATGCCAGAAGCTTTTATTTAAGAAAAAACTCAAACCTTTAACCATGATTCTACTCCAGCTATTTGTATACAAAATGTCAAATCAACATTTTTTCATCAGTCATTAGCTGATGGCTTGTAGTTTTGGTTTGGATTTTTTTTTTCTGAAAACAGCTGAAGACAACAAAAGGAGTAAAACCATCTCAAAAGCTAGCTTATGCAATTCTCACACAGGAAAAATTCCCATTGGAGTCAAAGCTTCTTTTCTTCTCCTAAAACTTCTAAACCTATTCCTGCAATAAAGCCATTCTTTGCCTCTGAGCTAAATACCTGGAGTTAAGGTCTGCTGTGGTTATGGATGTACACACACACATACATGTACACTCATGGTATTAGTCATCTCATGCCTGGGCCTTCACAACTCAAGCTCAGCTTCTATACTATTAGCAGGTAGTACATGTATTAGACACACCTCTGAAATGAAAACTGGTGAGGCAATATTTCAAATTTTGTTTAACCTGGCAAAAATCTAATACCAGTAATCAGCAGAAATATATAACCTTAGATGGTGTTTCATTCAATTATTCTATTAATGTGATAAGCTTGTTTCTGATTTTCCCAGCCTTTCTTCTCAATGCTGATAAGAAATATGTTTGAAACATCTCTCATGATATCCTCAGACTCTCCTAAACATAATTAAAAACACAAAAGCCTAGCAAAAAA